GATACTGAAATTTCCTTTAGTTAGGGTAAGGTTGGATTCATCGCAATATACAAAGCGGATATTAGTCTGTGGTTCGTTTCCATCGTGGATTTAGTAGGTCAACAAACTACACACATAACGTGTCATGGTACTTCAGCTATAGACTGCACCAGAATAAATCAGTGCTACGTTTGTGGCTTGTCTATGAGTTCACATTGGTTTGCTTTGCAATGAAAGATCTCTCCCTTCTCGTCCTGTTTTTGATATTCTGTATCCATGCCTAGAGTGTTGCGGTGCAACCCACAAACATTTCCTTGCTTGACCCCTGTGTTTATTCAAGTACACGCGCATCGCACTTTTCGATACTGCTGGATTTATGGCGCAGTAGTTTTTGCAACGATTCAAAACTTCGTGCAGGTTCTTCACCGTCACACGATCACATGCAGTCGCGTGTGGCTTACTTATGCTGAGAGGTCACCGCAACTATGCAAGACCGAACTATCAACGTATGAATTACAAGCCAGACACCTTGTCATCGACCACTCCGACGGTTTGTCGTGTCTTTAAAACTAAGACTTAGTTCACAAATCGCGTCACCTAAAGGAAGCGGAGTATCATACAATATCAAGCATCCCGATGGGATCCGGCATGTATGACACATGGTGTTGCAGTCGGATGTCGAAGGCTCTTTAACCATCTGGCGCATCACTCTTCTAGAGGGGCCGGGACATTTTTGACTTTAATATTACAATTATATAGCATATCTAAATGATTACACGGAAAGCATTTACGCAAAATAAAATCGAACACGCTTCCTTGTACACAATGTTTGTAGTCTCCCTTGTCTCCATGAGCTGCTCATCAATGCTTGCCGATTGCTTCTGATCATTGATGTAGACGTCTGTCCAGGGAAGAAGTACGCCGTGATACCATTATTCCGGAGTCTGTGTGTGGGCTTTATTCGCAGAACTATGTCGAATGCGATTGGAGGGCCAGATGAATTACAGTGCTAACCTTTCCGAGATCAGTTGGTTCCGTTACATGATAGAGTCTAGTTGAGAAGTGGTACATTAACGCCTTTGACTCTTGAATGCATTGAGACCTTTGCTTCACGTTTTTCAACCCGGGAGCACTGGCTTGGTTTAACTCAATGGTTTACCTAGATGTAGAAGGGACTTCCTAACCCAGTGGTCCCCAACCTTTTCATCGCCGCGGACCGGTCAACGTTTGATAATTTTACCGCGGCCAGCTGAGGGAGACGTTGCTTGTTTTGTATGATAGACGGTTTTGCTTTACTAATTTTAATCTAATCGTATCTAAACATGCTTTGAAAATAAAATACAGTTACACCAAAACAATGAATATAAAGTGATTAAACATTTTAACTCACTAGAACATTAGATTAATGAGAACTCAGCTCGTTTCTCTGCAACGAGACTGTTCCTTCGGGTGGTAATAGGAGACAATGTCACCCGAAGTGTGTTGCTTATGTCCAGTTTATTCCATTGTTTTGGTTGCTGTCACTGAAAAAACCCCGCTTCACACAGATAGAATGTCGTAAGTGGCAGTAATGATTTAAGTACTGTGGTGGCAATCTGAGGGTAATCCACCATGAGTTTACTACAGAATACCCGCAGAGTCGTTGTCTCGAACGTAGTTTTAAGGCCACCATCATTTACAATCTCCAGCAGTTGATCTTCTTGCATAAACATGCCAGATTCGCCTGTTTATTTGACAAATGGGTCGCAGATCCATTCCTTACCAGTTTGTGGGCCTTTTGTGGTTGGGAACTAGCGCTCGAACTCTTTTAAAAGCAGTCAATTGATTGTGCACCAACTGGGAGAATGTGTGCGCTGGGTCAGTCTCGCCTAAAATCCCCGCTAATGTTTGAAATATGTCCAAAATGCCTCTGTTCACGCGCCGTCCCCACAACTCCAGTTTGGCTTTAAATGCAGCTACTTTTTCTGCCAACTTGAAAACAGTTGCCATTTTCCCCGGAAGTGATATATTGGGTTCTTTGAGCAGGCTTAGTGTATCACTGAAATGTGATGCCAGCGGTAACGTTTTCTGTGAGGAATGTTTGCAATGGCTCTCGTAATTCAGATACTCTGGTTGACGATTTTTATCTGGATAACCATCTTATTTCTGGGTACAAGAGAAGACATCTGTGCTCTGCTCCATCTTCTCACCAAACTGCTCCAACAGCCACGAGTTAAAGGCGTGTGCTTTGATGTGATTAATAATTTCAACATCATCAGTCAATACGCCGTTCAATTCCGGGGACATTTTTCGGCTTTCCAACTTTTCCCTGTGAATCATACACTGCCTAGATTAACTCTCAGGTGCAGCCACCTTAATCTGAGCATTTAAACCAGACACTCGTCCGCTCATGACAGCAGCTCCGTCTGTGCATATGCGGACACAAAAGGATCATTTTAGTTGTCCTGATATATAACCATCCAGTGACTTGAACAGTTCTGTTCCTGTGGTAGTACACATAGCAAATCCTCATGCACAACTTCCTGATAAAGATATCGCACATAAACAAGTAGTATTGCCTTGTTGTCGATATCTGTAGATTCGTCAAGCTGAAGTGCGCACGACGGTGATGTATTAATTCTCTCCAACAATTGTGTCTCAATGTCTTCAGCTATTTTCTCAACTCCCCTGGTCACAATGTTTGCCGATAAAGACACATGTGCCATCTTTTTAACAGCAGCCTCTTAGAAGTCCATAGCAAATGTCTAGTGACTGGCAATTTAACCTAAGCAATACGGTTAACCACCAAATATGATGCTCTCAGTGCCTTTACTGATGTGGTGGCCCTTAGAACTTTCTTCTGTCTTTTGTGTTCCCGTCATTTTTCCTTCAAAATACTCCACGCGCTTATCTTTTACTCCAGTGTGCTTAGCGTACAAGTAGCGAAGCTGTTTTGAAGGTTTCGTTGCCTCATTAGAGAGCCGATCACCGCCAACTATGCAGAGCGGATTGGTGTGTGGGAACCACCTGTCCCGATAAATCCATATTTCAAGTAGGGCTCGTGGTATCGTCTGACAAAAGTTTTCGTGTTTCCTCGATGTTGAAGGCTCTTCTGTCTCTCCACAGAGAATGTTCCTTTCCTCAAGGAAACTTTCTAACGACGTTTGTTTGGTACACATTTTTGCCAATTTGTGCATCAAATTTGAGAGCTCAAGTGACCGAAATGTAACCTGGAAAATAAAATTAGGTGACAAATGTGGACGACAAAAGGGCAAAAATAAGGAACAATATACACGTACACCAAGCACTGTTAAACACAAGAAAGTACCAGTGAATAGAGCGAAGAGCGCTACAGACCTCTCCACCAAGGCTACAACGTTTCCACCGCTCGCAACCACTCAGCTCCCGGTTAAACTCTCATCCATGGAAAGCTTCACAATCCCGAGAGAAATACACCACAGTGAATAAAATGGAAATCATTTTTACTGTTTATTGAGCTGCTCGGTACCATTTAATCCACGGACCACTACAGGTCTGCGGCCCGGGGGTTGGGCACCACGGTCCTAACCGACCATCTGTCGCTTACCACGCGGAAATCAGTGACATGTGTTGTCAATGATTACAACGCTCGCTCTATACGAGATTAGAACATGGGCCTCAGCGAAGATGCTTATTCTGATTGCAAGCATTTGCACTTTTCCAGGCGTCTCGAAAACTATGTAGTCAAATCCCGGGTGGTTCACGCCAGTGGGGTCTGCACATTACCTCTGTGTGAGCCGCAGATTCGCCTGGAGGTTAGTATTTGATCGAACGGCATGCGGCGGTAACTTGCTCACTGCTTCATCATACACGCCGACGTCGCGTAGAGTTTGACCTAACCAGTGACTATCTAACAAATTCTCGCGTGATACCTAACGAGACCTCGCATCGCAGGATAAATATGCTCCTCTGATGAAAACAAGACTGCTCGTACCTGTTAGATTCTGCACTATTGCCTTCGGACTTTTGCTTAGTAGCTTGATAGCTTTGGTTTACATTTTAGGGCATGTATGTAGGTAACATGGACGGTTGCTGGATCATTCTTTCCACTTGCTTTTTTGACAGATCTCACACATTTTGCGACTTATGTCTTCTATCTGCGCTTAGTAAGTGGATTAAGGGGACAGAATTTTTCAAGTACATGTGTTAACCGGCGCAAGCAAATTCTTTGGATGTGCATGCCTCTCTCACCACTCTCACGCTGCACGTGTTGTGCCTTGATGCTTCCTACTTATTATACTTCAATGACACATGTTGGAAGCACTTTTATCCCTGGGTGCTTTGCCAAGTTTCACTGTGTCCTATGCGGGTGTTGGCGAGGTAGCCACTCATTCTCTGACGCAACCTATACTATATATAGATCCAGGGGACTGTCAAACTTTGCTGAACGAGAAGGGCCTTATCGCTTATTCACCACCAATATGTACATCCGGTACGCATGTTCACCATACTTCACATCATTAGTTGGAGTGCGAGTCATCTTCGAATCATTAGTGGTCCCCATCCGCATCTTTTGCCTTCGGGTTTATAGCAGTTATCACATGGGTGGATGGAACCGTGGATAATGCGAATGAAGTCACCCATCGTTACTCCGACTCACTGATATCCCATTGACTTCAATCTGTGCTCGGTTGTTCGCGGCTGCATTTTGTTGTCCCATTGTGGACACTACTGAATAGGGGCTTCTGATGAAATTTATAGATTGTTCGTGATAACTCTCAGCCAGACTCCTTAGCCCAGGATATTTATCAGTGGATTTAAATGCTACGTTGGGTTCCACTTCCCCACTTATTTCTCCTTATCATAAGGATCGTTATTTTTGATCAACGCAACGCCAGTATTTGTCACTAATGTTCCCAGTCTACTGTGTTATCTGTCTGCTTTGTCCTGTATTTTGTTCACTGCCAGATATCTGTGAACTGTGCGACATGCCCATTTCTAACATCTTTTCGGTCGCCTTCAAGTTTTCTATTTTTACGTCTCCTTGTTTTCGCTATCTACAGATTGATCAGACGCGGATACCGCAAGCCACTGGAGATGTCGGATATATGGTGCCTAGATTTGGCTCATCGTGCTGATCACGTCTCTGCAAAGCTTTTCAGGGCCCTAGATATTTACGTTCGTCCAAAGAAATCATTCAACTTTTACATGTTAGTCATCACTTCTGACGCATTTCCACGTTCTTATTCTTGAATTCCATATTATTGTGTGTCATCCTGCTTTCTCTTATCTTCCAAGCAGTTTCCGTCAACTGTGCCTTTTCTCATCCAATTGAATCCATAGCGATTTCAAATTCCTCCTTAAGGAAATCATGTTCTTCCATAGATGTTTTAAGAAGGTCCATAACGCCTTCAGGTTGAATCCAACGGGCACAAACACTCCTGCAATTTACGTGCTGTTCGTTGCGTGACCAATCACAAACAAGCAGATATTATAACAGATTAGCACAGAGATGATATTTTCTGATTTGGATTTATTCGCTCATTGAACCATAGCATTTAGGGAGCTTCATGCCCTCTGTATTCAACTTGAAAGCGTTATGGGCCATGTTGAAAGGTCTATCTAGGGATATCATTTCATTAAGGAGGAATTTGAAACCGTTATGAATTCAATTGACTGAGAAAAAGTACAGTGTCTGTCACTCGGTGTTTTAAAGATGTTCCGAGTTTTAAGTGCACCTCTCGGTGTCAGACTCGCAGTGGACTGAGCGGACTAATACTCACCTTCACAATTCATTGCACGTTACCACAGTCACCTGACTGGTTGCAGCCCGTCTGCCTTCGTTTAACCTACACAGCTTGCTAATAATCAAGAACACGGCAACGTTTAGCATTTCCGGGGAGGGGAGGGGGGTACAATCACTTATACGGTACTCATCCTAAGTTTGACGTTAAGAATATTTTCCACTTTTTAACAACGGTTAATCCTTACGGTGCCGTTCTTTTTGGTAGTGTATTGGTCCATTCCCGCAACAGTACCTTGCGCAATGCAGTTCTGACCCGCACGTTTGGTTGTACAGCACCTTGAATCGGCTTAGTTGTTCGGGATGCCAAATCACTCTCATTGGATCTGGGAACGAGTATATGGATTACCCAGTGTATAGGCGCAGAATGGAAAATATGTGGACAACAGTAGCTCTTTATGACCTCTGCTTATATTTGTATGTGCTAAAAATGACATCAGGTACATCAGGAGCCTCCTTCTTTTGAGCAAATGTCTTTGTTTTACGTAATTTCAGGAGACCATTTGATCTGATGGGGTTGCTTGATATCTGTCTCACCACACGTTTCACTTTCAGCTGCCAAACTTACACAGATAATGAGTACGCCAATATGATCGCCTATCTCTGGCCTGGTAGCCGAGGCAGTGATGCAAGCACTGGAACATAAGGCACTGCTGATCGTGGAGCCCAAGGTTTGGATACGCTACGTGGACGATACTTGTTATCCTCTAACACCCCAAATTTCAAGAAACGCTCCAGCTAATAAACTATATTTTTTCTGTCACCTAAATTACCATACAGGTAAAGAACGATAACCATTTGCCATTTATGGACGTGTTCGTGTTAAGACATGATTCTGGCCCCCCTAGAAACAACGGCCTATCGGAACGCGGCCCGCAATAACCATCCGGCCGTTTACAAGCGTAGCTGTGTAAGGACACTCTTCAAAGGAGTACGAACACCCCGTAACTGAGGACGTCGGAGGAGGACCACCACTTTAACACGTTTCAGCGGAATTCCTACCGCAGAAGTTTTATTCTTCTCTGCCTGATATCGAGGAGACAACTACAGTTCGCATCCACAAGTGTAACAAAAAGGACAACTGTTATCCTACCTAACATGGAATTTCTGAGATCGTAACGAGACCTCTAATGCGCACGAAGCAACGGAAATAATTCGGAACAACCTTTTCAAGGTTAAGGACCAACTGAGTACGGGAGAAACATCAGGTATGATTTACAAAATTTTCCGCAAGCGTTATGTGAGCCAGACCGGAACAAACTTCGGCGCAAGACTTCACGAGCATAGTCTGTCAATACATCGTCATAATGAGAAATAGTTAGTGTCAGTGCATAGAGATGCTGAGGACCACCGATTCGATTTGGAAAACGTTAAGGTACTCGGAAGAGCAAAGGGTCGAAAGGCGTGTGAAATAAAAATGAAAGTCATCAGCAGTATGCCTGTGCGCAAGGTTTCCAACCACTGACTCTCAGCATCTTTCGGACCCCATCCAGGGAGTCGAGAAGAACCATCATCATCATCATACACGTTAGTTAGAGGTGGAGAACACCTCAGCTGCTGTGCCGCAACATATAGAAAAAAAGGAAAAATATGCAACTGGAGCAAGCTGGCTGAGCTACCGGTAACGGATGGGCATCGTTCCGGTAAGCTACCAGCCGGCTGCTGTGCACAAAAAATTACTATGCAAAATTATATAAGGCTAGATAATGAGATCGTGGTTGGAGGGGGAGGCTAAGAGGGATGGGGTGGGACAAAGAAACTCACAGCACGAACGCCACTGAGGTCGGTTCCTTGTCATGTCAGCAAGTGTGTCCAACCAAACGTGTTCACCGTCTTTCGGACTCCAACCAGGGAGCCGAGACGCTCCAGCCAAGGCCAGCTCAGAAATAAGGGCCTTCATTCCTCTCGACCAAATCATCGCTTGGCCACCCCTCCTCTTCTTCCATCCACACCCCCGGCGCGCAAACAACGCACCTCGCGGGAGTCGGTGGGCTGGCATGTGTAACACGTGGCCAGGACATCGGAGCCTGGTGCGGGAAATAACGGTGCTGAGCGGTTCATTTCCTTTCCCTGTGCCGTAGACAAGGCGTCGAACACGCTCATTGCTCACGCGGTGCTCCCACCAAATGTGAGCTAAATTACGAAGGCACCGGTGGTCGAACGTAACTAGCCTCTTCAGGTCCGCTGCTTTAAGCTGCCAGGTTTCACAACCGTACAGTAGGGTCGAACGTACTACTGCATTGTACACTCTACCCTTCAGCGCGGGAGTGATGTCGCGCCGGCGCCATAAGTGGCGAAGGTTAGCAAAAGCGCCCCGAGCTTTTGCTATACGATTCGTGATTTCATCTTTAATCCCACGGGTGCTGATACAACTTCCCAGGTAGTTGAATTTTTGAACGACTTCTAGCTGATCCCCACACCAAGGGTCAGCGTAGGAGGCGGTCCAGACCAATCTTGGAGGAACGCTTTGCACTTCGAGGGTGCGAAACAAAGCCCGAAGTGACGGACTCGAGAAGAACCAACCGATGCCAATTGTCCTGTCAGCTTTTTCATCCTGCTTATTCATGTTGTAGGCTGTTCACCACATCGTATCCTCCAGATCTGTGCAGCGACTACAAACTAGTCACAACGCGGGACGTTGAACGGACATACGCAGTCCGTGTCCAAGCCATCGTAGTTGGCGCATTGAGACAAGCGCCTCAACGAAATGTCTGCCTCCACCCAAGACACGCTATCGGACTTCCTTACGTGGTGCAGCCACCACACACGAGCGATAGACCGCAAGCAACGGTTCTCGAAGCGAGACAGTCCACGCGGGTCATCGGTACGAGCAGACCAAGTCTCACAACCGTACGACAGTACAACGCGGACAGTCGCTCTATACATCCGCCCTTTGAAGGGAAGACGGATGTCATGGCGGCGCCATAAATACCTCAGCCTGGAGAAGGCGAGACGACCTCTTAAGACGCGCATCAAAATCTTCTTTCCAACAGCCCCACCATCAATGATGCACCTTCGCAGGTAGACAAAACTCTGTACAACTTCCAGCGTTTCGCCATCGATGGTGAGTGGAGGTAGGGGCGTATGCGAATCTTGAAAAAGCGCTTTAGACTTGGATGGTAAAAAGTGTATGACATACTTTGGCGCTTCAATCGCAAGCCGGTTAAGTGCATGTTGAACGGCCTGCGGGCCGCCGCTCAACAAAACCATATCATCAGCGTAATCCAGATCAACCACCAGACTATCTGGGAGGAGCTCAACGCTAGAGTTCAACAAGTCTTCTAGAGCATTTTTGAGGTCATCTTCATTGGCAAAGTTGAAGAGGAATGGAGAGAAAGGGCATCCTTGTCGAACCCCACTGGCAATAACAAAGAAAGGCGAAAGCTTGCCATAAGCCCTAACTCTACCTTAGGTCAGAATATACAGAGCACACAGTGCGGAAACAAACTTCTCGGGCATGCTATTCCTCAACAGACAGTGCCACAATGCAGCCCTGTCAAAAGAATCGCAGGCAGCACGGATATGCAGAACCACCAAAATCGTTGGCTTTTGATACACATGACGGTGCTTGAGAATCTGGCAGATTTTGGAAAGCTGACCGATGCATCCGCGACCATAACAGAACACAGCCTGTTCTTCTCGCTGTAGTGATTCACACGTTGGGGATATCCTGCGCAGAATGATGGTGACCAGCATCTTGCAAACGACAGGAACCAAGCTTACACCCCTGTAATTGGAGCGATTTGTGCGCAGGCCTCTTTTTGAAGATGGGGACGACTACCAACTCACTCCAGGATGATGGCCCCTTCTCTTTAACCCAGACTTCTGCGAACAAAGCGGTGAGTTCTCGAATCAGTGAAGAGCCCTCATCTTTAAATAGAGCAGGAGGTAGACCGTCTTGACCAGGTGCCTTATAACGCTTTAGGCAGCGGACTTCTCGCCTGATTTCTGGATAAGAGGGAGGATAAGTGGGGATGGTCCACTCAGCATCACTGCACACCCCGGGGTAAACAGATGGAGCTGGCGGCCAGGGAAACTGCGAGCGGAAATGTCCGGCCGATTGCTCCAACCGTCGTTGCAGCTTAGTGATTAGGAAGCCACTCTCTTTGCATATTGTTTCGCTTACTCCAGATCGGAAGTCTTCGGCGACTCGGATGAGATGGAACAGTTTTCAGGTATTACCAGAGTGACTAGCAAGTTCCACCTCTCTAGCACTTTTACACTACCAGATCTCACGGTCTTTCTGTAAGCTCCTACGCAACGTTCGATCCAGGGATCGACCTTCTTCACTACAGCTGGTATCGGCTGGGATCAAGCGTCGTCTGTCTATCAGCGACAAGGAGGCAGTGGTGATTCAGCTTTTCAGCTGGTGACAAACCACTCCACAACTGACAGTACTATTAAAAA